ATATCGAGCTGATGTTCATCAACAATCTACAACAGTTAGTAATTTCAACGACCATAATCTATCTGTCTGTTGAATAGTGAGTCATGGTTTTAATAATACAGCTGTACTTCTGAGATAAGCCAATGTCAAATTTGCTGATCTCAAGGTGTTTTTGTCTGTTTGTCGATCTTTTCTGTTTTCTGTTATCCTATGACATTTTAACAATGATAGGTACCTGAATTTTATTACTGTCATGATAACACTGACACTTAAAGAATTCTCTTGCAAAGGTGTTAATGCGATATCTTCTTGTCCAGGGTTGTTTAATTTTCTTGACGTTGTTATTGATAACATTTATCATTTTGAAGTATGGTAGGTTTTTTGAGAAACAAAATTTTTAATTTGTAAAATTCTCTCAATATATATCGCATCTAAGGGCAAGTTTCAAAGATTAAAGTAATTTAAAGCAATTACTTATGTAAAAAAAAATGCACTATTCGCTGAGATTTCACAACATGAAATGGTTCATAAAATCGATTGATCAAAATTAAATTGCATTATATAAAGAAAGCAACTGATGAATACTAACAAATTATTTAATCAGACATATCAACAGTTTTTATCTATCTTCAATGTATGTCAATCAAATGACGTATATTAAGATAACATTGTTGTAGCTTCATAATAAATATTATATGATAAGGTACAAAGGTCACTTGTCGACAAGAAGATAAAGAATTAACTCGTTTTAAATCAAAGAGTAAAATAGTATTGATAAAAATTTAATAATTTTTATCAATATTATTTAACTGTATCTCGAATTTCGAAATCAATTACTTCGAAAATTATGTTAGAAAAATTGATTGTTAGTTTTTCTATGAATCCTTTTTTCCAATGAAATGGAATTTAGTTCATATAATATGTATCATTCGTTTTGAATGTAGACAAACGAAACAATAAATATAACCATCTTTAAATAACGCATTTTTTTTTCTTACATTAAAAGTTCATATTTATCAGCATTTGTCAACATGCTCAATCAGACATTCTAACCGACGAGAGAATATCAATAGAAAATAATCTATAGTTTTTTTATCAATTCTATTTTATATTTATCATTTGATATAATATTACAAGCCATTCATCTATTATACTTATGTTTTTCTTTCGTTTCTGGACTTTTCGAAAAATATTTAATCAAAAAATTTTCAAATTTTCAGGACAGGTAGATCTTGATAACTGGTGCGAATGTTGTCACAGACTAAAAGTTCCCAGATTCTATCTTCTATGAGACACTGGGATCATTGTAGCGAAAAACAGTCCCTTTTCATTTCTCCGAAATGCTATGTACGATCGAGCTGAAAACTTTATTGCAAACAATAGACACTGTTTGAAATGGATACCCTTTTATTTTTGTATCATCGAAAGTATCCTAGAAAACGCATGTTTTTTTTTTGAACAGAACTATTGAAAATGATCAGGACAATGTTTTTTTTTTGAAAGAACAAGAAATACTCATCCCAAAGAGTGTATAGTATATGTAGAAAAAGACTCCAATTTCGAAGAGACAGGAACGTTTCTACATTTTTTTTCAATGAAAAAGTTGGTTTGTATAAAATGCAGTTTGCTATTTTCGTTATATAAATTTGCTTTTTAACATGTAAATACAATATTTGGATTTCAAAACGTATTCAATAAATAAATACTACTTCAGACTATAAATGGCCACAAAAAAAACCAAAATCTCCTGTCATGAAAGATGCGAAGAAAATTCTTAATCAAACGAAATATGCAGTACTTACAGAGTACCGTAAATTAAGATAAATTTTTGAAATACAAATGACTCAGTTTACAAAGACCATTATTTATAAAATAAAGTGGTCATTCTTTCGAAGAGATTTGTTATACGTCTTTTGAAATGTATCTAGTAATACAACACTGATGAATCAAAGACAAACAAATTTCATATTGTTATTATTCGATTAAACTTAATCTATTGAAGTTTTGTCTATCAAACGCCGAGAATTATACTGAATCTAATACAAGATGCATATTTTCAATCTTTTAATTCGTATTTTTATCATACATCCAAGTCAAAAATATAAGAATGAAAATACTTTGTGATTTGATGTTCTAACTAAAATGTATTTTATTAACTTGCATCATTATATAAAACAAAATTCGTTGTCATATCAATGATTTGATACAGTTAATCAAGCTATTAAATAAACATATATCTTAAAAGACAATCGTTCATTCTACATAGTTTTCGAAAGACTATCGTAAATGCACATAAAATACAAATTTATATTTAAATCATCAGAAATTGATTATAATGCATTGACGTAAGTATTTTTTTTTAACCTTTTCTCTATACTTTCTTATTTTTCTATTACTAATTCGATACGTACCAATGATTCACGTGAATAGTAATATAAGAAAAAAAGATTCATAAACGCTTCAATTTTTTTTTTCTATTTTCATTTGCCTTTATACTTTGCGAACAAAACTGGTCTATATTATTTAAATTATTTGAACCATTAACTAAAAACTATTCAACGAATTTTCTGTAACTTTTGAAGCGTATTAGAGAAATATTAAATTTAAACACTTTCTAAATGATAAGAACGAAAAGTTTAAAGTTTTCTTCTCTTTCTTTTTTTTTTTTGAAGTATGCCCTTTTTACTTAGACACGGTTATTTTTACTTTTTTTATGTTGATACTTTCTAAGGGTTGTCTGTGCACGGAGAATATTCTCGACTATTTGTCACTATATAATCTTTTGAATTTCTATTATATTTTTGTGTTTTATTGATTTACAAACACCACACAGTAGCATATCAAATAAAAACAAGAGAATAAACTTGATAAGGTGATTTGGAATATTTATATTAAACTCTATTACTCATCATTCATATCAAGTATGTTGAGTCTATTTATATCATATTGAACCTTATATTATTCCTGAGAAGGAAATTTCACGGAACAAGAATTTTATTCTATCGTATAGGTTATTTTAGAAAAAAAAGGAATGTTCGTCGTAGAAAATAGGATGAAATTGTTTCATCAATCCTTTTTATACCTGTTATCATGTTTCTATGACAACTCGTGTGAGAGAGAATTATCTACCAGCTGTTGGAGATCAGAACTGAGTCATAGTTTGGCGAATTGAGATTTGTCTGTAATTGCGCAATAATTGCCTAGAAGTTTCATAAAAGAATCTTCTATTAAATAGAAGTAGCATAAGAATAATCATCGTGTTGATGCCCAAGACTTAGAGGCATATAGAAATAGGATACAACTAAGTTTCACTTACATGTTAGAAAATCAAAAATAAGTCATGTGTTCGATTGTGAGTAACACAAAATTTAGTATACAACTTTTTTTCGTGCTTAAAGGAATGATAGCCGTGTTTTCGCATAGTTATCATTGTATTTAAGTAGTTGAGATAACCTGTGTTTGTGATCTACATTTTTACACCTCTTGCATATATGGTAGATGATATAACGGAGAACCTTGGTTAATTACTATATATATTTATGCCAAATAAAATTTTAAAAAAATATACGTATTTCATCAACTCAATGATTAACTTGTTCCATCAATCTTCAGGATATCCGACTCTCTCCATTTTTTTGACCAAATTCTAATTTTCGAAAAGGATACAACCAATCAAAAAGAAAATAGCCCGATTTTACCACTAAAAAGGTACTTGCACGTGTCTGTGGTAAAAATTTCAGCTCGATCGAACAATGTTAGAGGGAGTTCGTAAGTAGTTGGAATTGAAAAAACTGGTATTTTGCATTATGCTAAGTAAAAAGAAATGAATTTCAATATGATTACTATGAAAAAATATTCTTAATTTTATTAACTGTGTAGTAATAAGCTGTTTCGAGTCAAAAAAAAAGGAGGATACCCTTAAGCCCAATGTTTCGATTAAGTTATTCGTTTTCTGAAGTAAATCATAGTCTTGTTTATCTTAACATGCAATTGACAAAAACAAATGATTAAGTGAACGTACTATTTAATGTCTTGTGCTTTATTTGAAAAACAGATCAAACAGAACGATCACATGATCTATGAATATTCAGTCAATAAACAGAATGAAGTGTAGCTTTTATGGTAACAGTCTAGAATGTCCTTTCGAAAATATCCTTTAGTTTTTCGTCCTTACATGTATATGTATGTGAGAGGACGGAAAAAATAAAGTACATTTTGTCTGAGGACATTTTCAAAAGGACATTCTAGCATGTATTCGCTTTTATGATTCATAATTTCCTTTTTTTTATTACAGCATTACATAAATATGATGCAACTGTGTTAGTCATAATTGCGTAGGTTTCTGATAGTCACGACGACGATAATTATTGAGTACATAGATAACCTTATATGATTGGACTGATCTTTTATTCAACTCAAATTATTTATCATCTATTGTTTTCATACTAATTTATCGATTACTTGGTTTTTTCCCAATACATGCGTGTTAGATATTACATTGTTAAAACGAAAATATTTTCATGAGTTATATAGTATAGTCGAACATATGGCGACAAATAAAATGTAACGTTAATGTCTATAAAATTCAGATACATTTCAGAGGTTGTTTGTAATCATCTTTTTGAGTAAACAGTAAGACAATAAAGTTATATCGAAACGTAAGAAACATAAAAATTGGTACTCTTAAAATAAAACTTAAAACAGTTAAAAAGAAAACAGAAGGTCAAATGTTATTTTTTCTTAAAAAAAAGATGTTTTACTTCTTGTAATATTTTAATATATATGTTATTGGCAAATAACAAATATTTTAGATTTCGATTGGATCAAACACAATGAATAAACAACAATTGTTGATTTTCCATGTGTTTTTTGCTTCTTTAATACAACTCCATTCGACTGTTTCTGCAAGTTTGACTAATCTAAAATCTAGTAAGTAGTAAAGATTTCTATTCAATAAAATTTTGCTTATATTTTTTGACATTAAAAATGTTTCACACATAGATTTATTGCCTAATTGTTCTATGTTTGAACATGATGAAGATATTATTGAGTCATTTCCATTTGATGTTCCTCTTAATCCATACAAACGGTATCCTAAGACATATGGTTTGATGTACAAGGATGGGCATATTTATCGTTTAAATATTGTTAATCAGAAAGTCATTCCATTTACAATCTTTTGTTTAAAACATTTGAAACGATTATATATACAAAACACATGTCTTCATTGTTGTAATTGTCAACAATCCGATGTGATCGAATATTTTCCATTATCATTAGCGGAATTGAGTATCTATAATACTAATATTACTCATTTATCGGAACAGTTAGGTAAATTAACAAATTTACAAACATTAAAATTATCCAATGTTGGTCTTACAACTCTTCCAGATTCTATTGATAATTTATCTTTATTACTTATGTTATATTTACCTTTCAATAATATAACATCATTACCAATCACTATTAAACATCTTCGATCATTACAACAAATAACATTGAAAAATAATCCATATCTTCGTTCAGTACAACAACTTAATGGTCTTCAATCTCTTGCAGTTTTGGATGCAAGAGGTTGTTCAATTGAAAGTTTACCTCGTGATTTACCTCAATTAATTTATCTATATATGTCAAATAATAATTTAAAAAGACTTGATGGCATTCAAACATTAGGTAATGGAACAAGTAGTGAAAAATCTTTTTATTTTGATATGAATTATATTGGACTTGTGACACCACGAATTGAACGTGTTAGGAATCTTTATCAACTTGATCTTAATGACAATAAATTGATAACTTTACCATCGGATTTTTTCGTTATACGGACGCTTCGTTTTTTATCCATTGACGATAATTATTTTGATGATCATGATTTAATAAAGCAACTCTTTGTCACATTTAAGATTTCATACAAATCTAAATACAAAGCTTTTATGAAAAAAATTCAATAGTAAAACTTTTATGACAAAATTATACAAGATGAGGCATTATTTTTTTATTAGTAATATTTATTACTGATACTTTTTTTTTTTTTTTTTTTTGTATTAGTAATTATCATATTTAATAACTTTGTTGCAACATGTTTATGAATAAATGCTCTATCAATTCAATAAAATTAAAAAAAAAACAGACTATATTCTATTATTGAATTCGATTTTTCAAAGAGCCCTCCTCTTCTTCTTCGACAATGAACAATCAACCGACAAAATCGATTTGCCAGATTTGAATCCATATCGTAGTTCATATTGAAGTTTCTGTGGCCCTGTATTTAATCATATCCTAATTGCAGATCGAAAGCGAGTGTATTTTAAGTAACAGCACCAATAAAGCAGTACGTAAAACAGACCGACATCATCAATATGATCATATTAGTAGATTGTAGTATTAAAATGAGGACGTAGTTTGTTTCATTAGTTATGATGAATTTATAACGTGTTATCTATTTGGTATATATTGCAAGCCATTACGACTTTTCGAAACGATTTGTATTTGTTGCAATTCTAATTCATATCTTCTGTTATTATTTAACGAAGTATGTGATTATTTATCTTTAGTAGATGCGCCATTACATTCATATTGAGGTATACATTCTCAAATGTAATATAGAGACATCATACGCACGTCCATCCTCAAGTCATATATGGAACTCACAGTAAGTGACATGAAATGAGTACGTTTCCTAATTCAGAAAAACAAGCATTTTCTTTTTATCAATTTCAAGCAGTATCAGATGATACTGTTTACTACAGTCACTCGAAACTTAACGTGAAAAAACACAGAAAGAGAAAAGATACTATAGTAAATACATCCTTCAGTTGCCATTAACATATAGGCTATGTTTCCTATCTACATAATCTTTATCTTAGCCTTTGGTTTGCATTAAAAGATGGAATGAAAAGAAATGAAACAATTTCCGAATTACTTTCCTAGCCGAACAAGCAGAATCGTAAATGAGTGTGTATCATCATATATTGGCATATTACATGGGAAAGTGTTCACAGGAAACATGCTTACAGTCATCAATGCAACTAAAAAACGGTACTATATACAGTCGTTTCATACAATTTGCTGTCGAATCCACGATGTTCCGACTGTGTCACGTCCTTCATGCACTGTGTACAACACGATAGAACACGGTCGTACTAATGCGCTTATCAAACTTCAATTTACAGCTATTTATGGCAGTGGACAGGGACGCTTTTGATTGTTTCAGTACCTATAATCATTATCGTGGGCATCAATATATGAAAAGAACGGAATAAGTTGATATGAAAACCCAAGATCATCAAGCAACATCAAATTTATTTGCTATCTACATCAAAACGAAAATAAAAGTCTAGGCTTGATTTGACATTTTATAAGCAATCCATATATCGAAATTTTAAGTCCTATGAAAAGTATTGTAATGTTTCTTAATCTGGCATTTCATTGTTCATCATCAAATGGAAGTGCCCTATTTAAATAAATTTTTGAATGTCCAATATGATTCAGTGTCATGAATGAATGACAACCAACAGTCATCCAGACATACAGTTGATCCTTTTATTGTTGAGTTCGAAGCTACTCACGAAATCAGTAATTGTCAACAATTAGTTTTTAAAATCAATGATAAATTTGTCGTATGGCACTTACTCATTACAATCTGTTTAATCTGCTGTTACGAAATACTTCATTTGCTAAGAATAAGAGAATAGTTCTATATATCTATAGAACTACATGAGGAGTTGAACACATTTTGACAAATTTTCAAAAGAGTTTAGTTCATTTCTATGAAGAACAAGTAGAGAGCATGTGCGTGAAAGTCACGAACCATAAATATTTTTATATGAAAAAAGAACACTTATTTTATGTTTTAATTTATTTTTTAAGTTTAGACTCCCAGAGTAATTCGTTCATTCATCAGCCATATATTGAAACATAAATGCATGAGCACAACCGCACGCACAAAAATCTTCTTAAAAATCGAATAAAAAGGGTTGATTTCATACATTGAAATCACCTCACGCATTTATGAGATCAATAATTAGAGAATGAAATTTCATACGAAGACATTTTCATCTCATCATGATGTATACGTGCAAAGATGTATTTTCAAGTAATATATAATGCTTCATTCTCTAATGTGAAAACAAAGATTGATCAGATGAGTTTTCTTATGAGAACGAATTAAATATACAAGAATTTTTTTCAATGGCGAAAACTTATATTTTTCCAGTTCATTGCTATAAGAAACAATCGATGTTGTCGATATAGCCATTGTTGTAGTTTCCTTCAAAATGAGTAAGTATGACGAGCACAGTTATTGAACGAGCACCAGTAGGCACAAACCCAGTGGTGTGTCGACAGACAAACACTGTTTGATTGCGTCGATCAGCAGCTAAAACAAGCCCAATACTTGTAACATTACCTATTATTTGATTAGCTTGATTATAAAAAGTCAACGAAACCATAGCCGAATCATTTTGAGTCGATTAACAACCCAATCATGCTGAAAGATTAAATTTTACTAGTCCACTATCGATAAGAGAATAATCAGTGTAATCAGTTAGACAGATTGTTTGCTGATTGATCGCCATGGAAGAAACAACGACCTCGATCAATGAAGAAAGAAAAATTCGATACAAGAAATTTGATATTTATCTTACGTAGTCGCAGACATTGTCAACGGTTAACCCGTAAACAGACTATTGTTGTAATACGCTTGGGTGATCCTTCCACCGTAGTCTCATCCAGTAGGACTAGTGACACCTGTACCCATCTGATAAGAAACTGTTTCAGCATTACCATTTGCCAGAATATTGATATTGAATACTAAACGATAAAGTATTGTTAGAAATACAAAGCAACAATGAGAAATGTTTCTTTGGATGTTATTAAAAATTTTAACACAATCGAAATGATAGAGAACATTTTGATATACAACAACTTTGAATCAAAGTTCAACTACGAATTCTCGTACTTATATGTTCTATTATTTGTGTTCTTACAAATTTTTCAAGCTATTGATATTGTTTCGTTGGAGTAAGACAAAAGCAATTCTAGATTCTTTAAATAATTATTGAGACATATTTCAAACGCATTTCTTATCAGAGAAAAAAGGGAGTAAGAATGAGGTTTTCTCAAATATGCTCTTAAGAACAAGAATATTTTAGGTTTTGCTGTGACTTTTGACAATCGTTGAAAAAAGTTTTTGTCTCGATTCATGAACAATGAATTAAGTTACAGACAATAACTAAGACTGAACTGTGCAGAATATATGTAATTTCTTTCCTCTTCATACAAATAAACTTACGAAATTTGTGAATTAGATGGAAGATATAATATTGACATTAGTAGAATTACCAGAGGGTTTCAAAGTGCTTGTAGAAGTAGTTGTTGTTGGACTTAACTTAACCAATAATCCAACAGCAAGTGCAGCTATTGCTATCACACAAGTAGACAACCAAGTACGGAAAAAAATACACACATTGGTGAGATAGTACAATAACAGCAACCAAAAAGTCTGTAAAAAATACAGGAGAATTATAAAAGAAAAGTATATAAATAACAAATCTTCGTCTATTACGCTTCTTTATTGGATTTTGTCTTCGATCAGCATCACGCACAGAAGCAATGCGAATCGATGATTCAAATGAGTACTTTCATAGAAAAAAAGTGTAATGTTTGAAAACAGAAAAAGCCTCCCTGATATGTTCGTATGAACTTTTAATGGACTGATATCAGACTTAGGTGCAGTTAAATTGAAATTCATCATGAGTAAATAACGTCTTGGTTACTATTGTTGATGAATATCTATTGTCTTGCTCTACACTTGTATGACTAGGATTTTGTTTGCTTCGCTGATTCTTTCCCCATTTATTGTCGGTTAATTATGATAATCAGTCATAAAAATAAAGAAAATTGTCATTGTTACTTTAAAAAAGATGTCACAGTGTGTCGAGAAAGCTTCTGGTCAATTCGAAATCGCAATGGTTCAAGAATGTGTCCATAGTTAGTATACAGAAAAGCTTATTCACTATCACTCACATTCACACGATAGTCACACACTGACATTAACACAGACAACTGCAGATCTAGTACAGTTGCGCACGAAAAGCTACTCTTAAACACTCTGTTTCATACGCACTTGCTCTGCGTGACAGACACTACCTTTGACAGTTGCGCCCTAGCATACGTAGACATTGAACATATTCTATCTTGATTTTTGAACAAATGATAAACAATTATAGTAGTTCAAGTAGTAACCTCAATCATTTAAGTTTCACCCAAACTGATCAATTGATTTCGTCATGCACCGTCTGACGTTAGGATAAAACCGCTATTTTAGCTGTGATTTGTTCCAGTTAGCTTCTGTAAAATTCTAATTGGAACATTCGATAGAACTTGTCGAGCTGCATTTGGCTCACTGAATGAAGAGAATCATTCTTCAAAAAAACTCGAGTCGGGTGCTAACTTCGGTTACATAGAAAAATTAACGAAAATCAAAAAATTCAAAGCATGTAAAAAAAAAGCTAGATATGTATACCTTATCATTATCATAGGTTTTGAGGAATGCAAGATATATCTGTAAATCAATGGCATCAACCTTCCAGACTGGTGTGGAATTTAGTAAACTCAAGGAAATCAAGAAAAATGAAGGTGGATGCATGGTTTATTTATGGGTATGAAAGAAAAGAATTCCAACACTCACACTCTTCTTTTTTCTAAACTCTCCTCCATTCTACTTGATTTTGATGATAGTTACAAGATGCATATACCTATAGTTCTTTGAATTCCTTCATGGCCTTGGGCTGCATGATAGCTATAATGTATAGATATCTAAAATATTTATACATCTTGAATGCATTGAACTTCTTCATTTTCTTTTGATGCTTTGAATTTCGTGATTGTCCCAAGATATCAGCTATGGACTTATATATAAATATTGAATTCCTTTCACTTTATCGGGATT